TCTTCAGTTATTTAGTACTGACAGTACATCAGGCTCTGTGCCTTTTATTAATGAATGCTTTCATTTAAAGTCAAGGAGGTTTAAGAATTAGACAGATGGATACTAAGTGCTATATTTGTCAATTAGGGCACAAGCTAATATTAAGAAACTTGTTTCTTAATGTAACAAGGATAATACAGTATTTTAAAATATATTCCTTTTTTCTTTTGCTTTTTGTATAAATGACATTTTCTCTAGTCAGCCCAAACCACCTAGTCGCCTTCCCTCAGCCAGTGGGAAGAATTAAGGGTATTATGCAAGGAGGAAAAAAGGGCTAATATTCAGTTTCTAACATTCAGCATAGGATGTGGGAAGACAATTTAAAAAGTGGTTTAAAACAGCAAAATGGGAGGGCACTTGACGGGATGAGCACTGGGTGTTATACTGTATGTTGGCAAATCGAACTTCAATTAAAAAAAATATGTGTGTGTGTGTATATATATATATAAAATGGCAAAATAGACTTTCTTCAAGTTAAAAAAAAGATTAACCAATTTATAAAACAATCATCAATTAAATTATTACATTCTTTTAAATTTATTGGGCTCAGCTTAATAAAAATGACTTTTGTGGTTGTAGTTGTTTTTGGCAAGGAAGGCCCAAGTTTCAATTCTGCAGCTCTTAGTCATAGGGCTCAATGAGAGAGACGTGAAGGAAGGACCGGCTGACCGATGTATACACCTCCACGGTGGCAGGGGGCGAGGGGTGGTGGTGGTGGTGGTGTGAAAGACAGAGAACAACTCCTTTGCTGTTCCAAGCAGTCACTCATCTTTCCTTTGGGGCATCTCTCCTTTTCATTTGATGGGTTACTGAATTTCTAATTCTGTAGGTGCAGACATCCTGAGTAATGGAGGCTTCCCTAAACACTGGGCCAGGCACCAGAGGACAGTCATCTCCATTCAGAGACTAACTCTCCCCAAGAGTGTAAAGATAGGACTGAGAGATAATCACCCGAAGTGCAGGGCTGTCCAGGGGGCAGGTATGTCTCCTGCTGGGCAGAAACCCAAGTTGTCTGAGACTGTGCCTCCAGACAGGAGTGCTGACAGTGGCCATGGGGTGGACAGGTGGGATAGATTCTCATCAGGGATAAAGCCTATCAGGAAAGCGTTCAGGAACATCCCTTCCCCATCTGTATGTTTTATTTTAAGACCCAGCCAAAGCTGCTCTGGGCCACTGCCCCCAACTCTCCCAGGCAGCTGTTGGTTTTTTTCCCACAGTGTTCAGTTTTTCCTCTGCAACTGCCACTGGCCCTGTGCCTGTAACTAATCTGTTTAAATATCTGTCTGCACCAGACCTAAAATCCTTGAGGCCGGAAGTTTGGTCACATCATCTTTGTTTCCTGAGATCCTAGCCCCATGTAGGCACCTAAGAGTTGCATGTTTTATTAATGAATGAATAAATAAATTGCGTCATTTGCATGGTTTCACTTGATAAAGCTGGCTCTACATGCATGTAGAAGGAAATTGGCTTTTCCTTTTCTCTTCACTTTGGTATTGGTTCAATATTACTTTTTTAAAAATCTTTTCATTGCATTAAAAAAAGACACAAAAGCCATAGAAAACTAATGTATAGGGCAGCCTGGGTGGCTTAGCGGTTTAGTGCCACCTTCAGCCCAGTGTGTGGTCCTGGGAGACCTGGGATCAAGTCCCATGTCAGGCTCCTTGCATGGAGCCTGCTTCTCCCTCTGCCTGTGTCTCTGCCTCTCTCTGTGTGTGTGTGTGTGTCTCTCATGAATAAATCTTTTTTTTAAAAAAAGAAAACTAATATATAGTTAAAGTTATTATTAGTTACTATAAGGGAAGCACCCTTTCCATCCCTACTCAGGCTAGCTTTCCCCAAAGTGCCTTGTCTGGTTCAAAAATAACCACTCCTCTGATTTTTAAATGCTCTCATATTTAGTGTTTCCTTATACAGTTGACCTTAGAACAGCACTGCTTTGATCTGAGGGGAGTGGGGGTCACCACTTCATAATATGGAGGTTTCTCAATAAGTACAGTATAAAACTGTAAATGTATTTTCTCTTATGATTTTCTTAACATTTTCTTTAGCTTATTTCATTGTGAGACTATGGTATAATACACACAACATGCAAAATACGTGTTGATCAACTGTTTATGTTTTTGATAAGCCTTCAGGTCAACCATGTTAATAGTCCATAAAATATTAGTAGCTACTAAGTAATATAGTTTAGTCTATGCCATTTTAAAAGACTTGTTAGGCCTTTTTAAGTCTCTTACTCTTCAAGTTCTGCCTCTGGCCCTTGACTTACTTTTATCTGATTATAAACCTAAGCTATTTCACCTCTAGAATTTCTCCCAGTCAGAAGTTTGCTGATTGCACCTGCATGGGACACTTCGGCATGGTTCTCTATTCTCTGTCCTTTTGCCTCTAATACCTGTGTTGAAAAGGCAAATGAGTTTCAACTTGATTGACAAGTTAGGGAACAACCGAGCATCATGAATCTCACCTGAGTTTATGTGCAATTTCTAGGAGAAACACCAGGTAAGTGTAGAAACCCTGCCGAACCTTGCGAACTACATAGGAATGCGCACACCCCTCCAACATCGGCCACAGGGCACCACACTGTGAGCTGCGTCCACCCATGTCTGATGTTACAACTTGCCTCCGATTTCAGAGAACCCGCCTTCCACCACTTCACAGTCATTCACTAGCCGCAGCTCTTTCCACGCCACCTCCACAAACGTCAGGGAGCTTTCAAGGTAGAGTGCCATATCTATTATAGTATTTATGTGTTTCTTGACCATAAAGTATATGTTAAACTATTACTGTTGCATCAGGTTACTCCTTATTTTAATGTGTCACTAAGAAAGGGTTTTTGGTACCTCACTTTTGTCATAAGTCCTGTAGCTTTTATTGCAGGATTTTGCACAGTGCAGAGATCTTTAAGACCATATTACGTCAGAACTAGTTGTATTTCCTTCAGATTGGCAGCTGGGCCCAGAGGCCTAATCAGACTCATGTTCTATCCCTTAGGTGATGCATTCTTTCCACAGAAGGCTCATAATGTCTGGTTGTGTCTGTTTTTGTGAAGTTAGCAGATACTAGATCCATTATTTCACTGGGGGCAGCAAAGTGGTGCTATTCTAACTTTGTTATTTCCTTCTCATTTATCTACTGGATACTTTTATAACTAGCAATTTTCTCTTATCTATAGTACAGTTCATATAGGAAAAAAAATCTTATCAGTTTTTAAGATAATTTATTTCCCATCATTCCCCCAAAGACAAGCTATTAGACTTTATTTTATAATATGTCATTAGGAACTCATGGATTGAAAACATTTGTTGGGTTTCAATTATTTGTGGTTACTATTCTTTTTGAAGTTCAAATCTTTGGCCAGTGAGAGCCCTTTCAAATTGTCTCCCAAGGCCTTTGATATGACCCTGGTATATCTTTTTTTTTTTTTTTTTTTAAGATTTTACTTATTTATTCATGAGATACACACACAGAGAGAGAGGGAGGGAGCCAGAGGCAGGACTCAATCCCAGGACCCTGGGATCAGGACCTAAGCTGAAGGCAGATACTCAATCACTGAGCCACCCAGGCGTCCCAACCATGGTAAATCTTTAATAGCTTTCTTGCTATCTGGTAATAGCATGACTGAACATGAAGTTCCAGGCTCATTTTGTAATTTCCTGTCCCGGAACTAAAATCTGCCATTTCTCCCAGGAGCCCTGGTATCTTTAAGTGAGAAATGAGATTTCAGAACAACAATCTTAATGCTAGGAGTGTGTGATGCCACTAGGTGGTTGTTGTAGACCAAATCAGTGGATAGAGCTATATATGTAGGTATGATACTTTGTGAGTTTAAACTGATATATCCAATACAGGATATTTTACTTATTAGCCTCTGTCATATTTCATTTGTATCTCCCTTCTTTCTGCATTGCAAATCATGATTCTCAAGAACACATAAAATGAATTTAGAATATCCTATAATTACTTTTTCCATATTACATATACAGCAGTCTCAAAATAACAATATTAGTTGTTATCACTACTGAAAATAGTTAAAAGTTTTTGCATATATTCTCCCTATTTTCTTCCAGTTTTAAAGAGGCAGGCTAAAGACAGAGTCATTACATATCATACTCTCACGCTTTATCCCTCGTTAAATTTTAGTTTCGCAAGTCATTCTGTGATTAATGCTTATCACCAATCCTTATGTCAAGGTCTCTCTCATAATTTGTGTGAAATTCCTCAGGATCAAGAAGGGCTTGTGGCAACATTATTCCCTAAAGTTTTCCATATTGAAAAGTCTATGTGCCCCTCATAATTCTGACTGAGTTTGGCTGAATATAAAAATTCTTAGCTCATGGGTAGCACAGGTGGCTCAGCGGTTTGGCACTGCCTTCAGCCCAGGGTGTGATCCTAGAGACTCGGGATCCTTGCATGGAGCCTGCTTCTCTCTCTGTGTGTGCCTCTTATGACTAAATAAATAAAATCTTTAAAAATATATATATTCTTAGCTCACAAACAAAAAAAAATTATTAGCTCACGTTTCCTTTCCTTGAGCATCTTAAATGTATTACTCCATCTTCTGGTGGCATGATAATATGATGTCAGAGAATACGATGATAACCTACTTTTCTTTCCCTTATAAATCACTTGTTCTTTTCGCCTACTGGCCAAAGAATTTTTACTTTTTCTTAACTGTCCAATAATGCTGCTAAAATATGTCTTAGTGTTGGTTGCCCTGGTTTAATCTTATTAAATGGCATTTTTCTCTTTCAATAAGTATAAGGTTTTTATACATATATTTTTACTTGAGATATAAATATATGATAATACACATTTATCGTAAATGTTCAGTTTGATGCATTTTGACAATTGTGTGTAGCTGTGTAACCACCATGAAAAACAAAACTAGAACATCAAGTACTTTTTATTTTATTTTTAAAATTCTTTATTTATTCATGAGAGACACCGAGAGAGAGAGACAGAGACACAGACAGAGGGAGAAGCAGGCTCCATGCAGGGAGCCTGACGTGGGACTCAATCCTGGGTCTCTAGGATCACACCCTGGGCTGAAGGCAGGCGCTAAACCACTGAGCTGAGCCACCGGGGCTGCCCCATCAAGTCCTTTTTAAATTCAGGACAGTGTTTTCACTCTTAGTTCTTAGTATTTGTTTCATTCCCTTGCATTCATTTAATCCTTTGGACACCTGTCCATATGTTGGATCTTCTCTTTCCAGCTATTTGTCACTTTCTTATAAATCCTTTTTAACTTTCTTCATTTCTTCTTGGTTTAAAAAAATTCCCTCCTTCCACCTTTGACTTCTTTTAAGACTTAGATTATCTGTCATGTTTATTTGATCCATGTTCCTTCTAATTTATTTCTGAAGTGTTCTTTTACTGCTAATTCTTCCCTAGTTCTGTAACCACAAGTCTGTTTTTCTAATTCTGATTTATGAGTTCTTTCCTGTCTTATATTTTCAATGGCTTCTGGCTCAATCTGAAATTTGTACAGTTTTAATCTGTTTTGTGAGCATGTCTTTCTAGTGTACTTTCATTATCTGTAGTAATGTTACTCTGCTCCTTATTCTCTTTTACTACATCTGATAACCATGAAACTTTTTGTGGCTTGTTTTTATGTAAAATTAGTTTTCCTATATGTTTAGAAGGGTGTGTGGCTTTAGAAGGGAGATAGCTTTCCTGATTTCACAAAGCTCCCTCTTGTGCTGTTTTCATGTAGTGTTCAACAACGTGGCAACTTGCTTTCTGAGATTTCTTGGGTCTGTCCTCATTCCTTCTTTGTCACCGTTGCCTTATATTCTGCATAACTTTGAATCCATTCACAGTAACACCTCCTCATTGTGGACCTGTCCTGGAAACCCTTTCAGATCAATTTTAAGAGTCCAGAGAGGTTAGGCTGCTCTGGCTTCTCAAACCATACTAGGGACCCCTTGCACTCACCCACTGTTGGCCATTTTGGGGTGCTGTTATTCTCAAGGCCATCAGATGTGCTGCTTTCTCCCACAGAGATGCTGACACCATGCAGATTTCATGGCTGTAGGTAATTTGTCCTCATCTGTTTGTATTGAGAATTCATTTAGATACCTTGTCACCCAGTTTTGTTGTAAATGTTATCCATGGGTTTTTAGTTTTTCTATCTACTTGTATGATCTGTTTTCATATTGGAATTTCAAAAAATTTAAAAACTATGCCATCACCACTACCCCATCTTCTCAGGATCCCCAATACCAGTCTTAATGGGATGATTATCAAAGTACTAAATTCTGGGTACGAGCATGGCAAATTACAAGCCTTAAAAATACAAATACAAATTATGCTAAACATCATCTTATTTGGAGTTATGAATTGTCCAGTCTTGATAGATTTGAATTACCAGCTGATATGTGACTGACAGAATGTAAAGTACATACCTTCAAATGTTGGTCCATAAATCGACTCTCCGTCATCTCCTTTTCCATATGCTATATCTGAGAAAGAACAATAAACAAACATTAGAATTTTGTTTAGAGACTAAAAAAGAGTATAGTAATGGTCAGGGGGAAAAGCTTTAAATTATGATTCCACTTATACCTAAGATACATAATTGTTTAATATCTAAACCATTAAGATATTACCATAATGATTTCACTTGTATTTTGTAAGCACTTTAACATTCATGATCCCATTTTTCCCCCTGATCATAACTCTTTGAAGTAGGCTAAATTGAAGTCGGCTAAATTATAGTGCCAAACCTTTGAAATGATGAAGTATTATGTTATAATTGTGATCACAATTTAAAGGAAGCATGTTCATATAAATCCTTCTTGCTTCACAAATTATCCCATAGTCCACCTTGCTTTTTGGGAAAATGGAAAGATCAAACTGGGAGAATGAAATAGGAACGTGAGGCCTTTTTAGAGAAGGAATAAAAATAGATGCACTAAAAAGAATAAACGTTCAAATTTTCATTTCTTGGAATCCTAGAGAGATAATTCATTTATTTAGCCAGTTATTTTGGAAAGGAAGTTCCTTTAAAATGTTAGAAGGTGGTGGTTGTTTTTTTTTTTTTAAGTATTTGTCATGTCCCATTTTGCATTATATGCCTTATAAAAATATTCAGGCTCAGGCAATGCTCCTACTGTAAACATCCTCCATGCACAAGTTACTTTTTCTCTATCTACAGCTAAAAGGGAAACCCAGCTGACTATTGGAAATAGCGGACTCTAGTGGAAATAAGGGTCTCTAAGCTCTGCACCCCCCAGCCTCCCCATCAGCACCTCTTTACTTCTTCCCCTCTCATTCACCCTCCTCGAGTACAGTGTACAATACATCTCTGTTGAAAGGCTGTGCCTTTTTAACGCAGTGTGAGTGATATACCTGTAATAAAAGCACACTGTTTTAAAGAAATCAGATGCAACAGCAAGCATGTGGAGAGAATTTATTCAGGACTGGCAAGTAGCATTTAAATTCCATTCACAGACTGGTTCAGAAGTTAATCATTAAGCCTGCAGTCTTCAACCCTACTCCACCTGATATCCCCCTGGGCCCTCAGCAGCTCTCAGGAGCATACTGCAGGGGCTGAAGGCTAAATCCAGCAATGGGGATGTCGAAGGTCCTCCAGCACCAATTCCTTAAGATCCTAGAGTTTGCTTTGCTCAGACAAATCTGCCTGTGATTTGCAACTTCTACTGACTAACTCACTTCAGTGTTCATGACACTCCTTTGCCCTGTCTCTCCAACACCCACCATTCCTCTTGCCATTTGCTTCACATCTCCCAGGTAAATATTTTATATTGACACCATTTCCATCAGTACTTGAATTCAGCCATATATATATATATATATATATATATATATATATATATATATGATACTATTTCTGTACTTCTGGCAACAAACTACACAATGCAGAGTAGTGGTTCAAAGTAGACTTTAAAATCAGACGAGTCTGATTTTAATTTTGATGTTAGTTCCCTTTCCCAAGGTGTTTCCTCATCTGTATAGGCAGGAATAATGGTAAGTGCATCCCAGGTAATTCTGAGAATTAAACAAAATCATGTTCTACCGACAGCACTTAGCGCATTGCCTGGAAGAGCATAATGCTCGTTCACTGGTGGCCATGGTCATGCAGCATTGCATGCTTATGGAAGACATCTTCTCGTTACCACCTTCTTCACCATCATTATATTGATGATGATTGACAAAATGTATTAAACTCTATCTCATGAGTTCCTTCAGAAGTCAGTGGGCCTTGTGGGAGCCACAAAAAGAAAATCTCACCAAACTGGCTTCACGACTTGGTATCTTCTTTCATTTTGTGCTTTAGAAGTGAGCAGAATGTATGTTTCCTGTTTATCTGTTTATTTGTTCATCCTTTCAAAGATATTTTTTAAGCACTCACTGTATACCAGACACCGTTCAGTGAACAAAATAAATAAAATCCTCTACCCTCATGGAAATTATTTATAGTCTAATGAAGAGAAACAGACACTAAACAAACTCTCTAGGAAATAAGTAATAGTATTTCCAGTGATGAAAAGTGCTATGAAGAAAAAAATAAAAGATTTTATTTTAAAAATAAAAATAAGGGGCTAGGAGAAGCAGCAGGGAAGGGAGTGAAGAGACTATCCTGTGTGGATAGGAAAGTGGCAGTTTTAAATAAGATGGTTGGGTAAATCTTGCTGAGATGAACTTGGCCAAAATCCAAAACAGATTAGAGGCTGAAGCAAGGGATATCTGAGGCATAGCTGGGTGGGGTGTGTTCCAGGCAGAAAGAAACAACAAAAGACGCCAAGCACATGTATGTTTGATGTTCTTAGGAAACAGCAAGTAGGCCAGTGTGTGGAGGAGAGTGAGAGGAGATGTCAGAGGATGAAGGGAAGCTGGGGGTATTATAGACCATGTAGGCCCCGCTGGTCCCATCAGGAAAGCAGTGGTGTTGGGAAGCAGTTTCAAGCACAGTGGAAAACCACATTTAGCACCCATATTCCAAAATTCTCCCCACAGCCTGGTGGGAGTCTGATATCTGAAAGGAAAACGTTTATAGAACTTGGTACTTCCAGTATACCATGTCACTGAATCCTCACTACATCCTATGATGTTATAATTTCCCCCATTTTATGATTAAGAAACTGATTCAGAGATACTAAGTGCCTAAGTACTAAGTGGTACAACTTGTGTTTATCATTTCAATTTGAATCTATAGTAATCAGCATTTTTTTTTTCCCAACTGCCCTTAACATTGCTGCCTCATTATTTGGAATCATGACCCAAGATCTGTGCATTTTACTGTTTGGAATTTTTATTTCAAATAGTAAACAAACAAGTAATGTCACCTACTTTTCACAAATCTTAGTCTGGGGCTCTGGAAGGAGAGGTGTACCTCTACCCAAAAACCAAAAATAAAACAAAAAAGAACATAGCTGAGAGCCCACCACACAATAGTCAACACTGAACTAAGTTTCAGGAGACCCTGATACTGGCCCCCTTGAGGATGGTTTTATACCAACAAATACTTGAAAACAATCTAAATGTTCACCTATGGAGAATTACAGTTGGCCTTTGAACAATGCAGGGGTTAGTGATGCCAACCCCTGCACAGTTGAAAACCCCCATATAACTTTTGACTTACCCCCCCGCCCCAATTTAACTATTAATAGTGTACAGTTGACTAGAAGCCTTACTGGTAACATAAACAGTATGAATGTTTTGTATATTATATGCTATATTCTTACAATAAAGGAAGCTAGAGAAAAGAAAATGTTATTTAGAAATCATAAGGAAGGGGCACCTGCATGGCACAGACGGTTAAGCATCTAACTTTTGGTTTTGATTCAGGTCGTGATCTTAGGGTCATGAAACTGAGCCCCATGTGGGGTTCCACGCTCAGTGTGGAGTCTGCTTAAGACTCTCTCCCCATCTCCTTCTGCCCCTACCCCACCTATGCGCAGTCTCACTCTCTCTCAAATAAACCTTTAAAAGAAAAAATACATTTCCTCTACTGTACTGTAAAAAAAATGTGTATAAATGGACCCCCAGAGTTCAGACTCCTTATTGTTCAAGGGCCAACTGTAAATTGGTACAGCAATATGAAAAACTAGGTGGACCCTAAAAAATTGTATATGTTTATCGACATAGGAAGATACATACCATATGTGTATGTGAAGTAGGAAATAATAAGGTTAGATAACACTATGGGTGCTATCTCAGTTTGTGGAGACACTGAGGGAAAAATAGTTGTTTTTCATACAAATGCTTGGATTAAATCTACATTTTTTTCATCAGCCTCAGAACATTCCAGATTGTAGAAAAATATTTAAGCATTATTAATTTCAGCTTCTGCATATTTCATCAGGTTCAAGCAAATCTTACACTCTAAGCCAATTATTTTTAAATTACTGTCTGATTATTCCCTATGGGCTTCTTCCCAAAAGGCCTTCAAAATTTAATTTTGTGCTGTTAGGAGAGACCTAGTCTGTGTGAAGTCAAAGGATTGACCTGAAAAGAGAGCAAAAATGGAGATCAAAATGCTTTAGCTCTTTTACTTTGTAACAATGTAACATCTTTGGTGAGAAATAAGTTGTTTTCCATATATTCATTCTATTTTAAAATTCCTACCTTTAGAATGTCTCTTAAAAGCACTGGATTTTTTAGGTACTCCTATTTTTTTAGGTGAGCATTTTTTTTTTTTTTAAGAGAGGGAGCGGGGTGGGGCAGCAGGAGAGGAAGAGAATCTTAAGTAGACTCCACACTAGGCATGGAGCCCAACATGGGTGTTTATTTCAAAATCTAGGACATTTCTAAAAAGAGTATGAATATCTTAATCCTTTGGCCATATAACATATCCTTTCAACATATATAATATCTAATATTAAATACATCTAATTCTATGTGCATTTCACAAAGGTAGACAACATTTGGGATATTCTGATTTGATGCTATAATTAAGTTGTATTTAAGATTTTAAACTTACCTCCTCCTTGTATCCAACCATTTGGTACTACTCGATGAATAACTGAACCTATGTAATGTAGCTTGATGCCACTTTGAGAATACCCCGCTTTTCCTGTGCATAAGACCTGAAAGTTTCTACACGTTTTGGGACATGCGTCAGAGTATAGCTACAAATAAAAAGGATTCAAAGATTAAATATTTAATATTTTGACAGTTACAGATTCCTACTTCCACTTCCCACATATCAAAAAAATAAATAAATAATAGAAATAAATAAGAACAGCAAAAAACCTCTTACCTCAAAAATCAGTCTTCCAATTGGATGAAAATCAATAGAAATGTCCAAGAACACAAAATCATGCTATTAAAATAGGGAGAAAAAGATAATGCAGGTCAGTATCTTGGAAGAGAGTTTTATTTTTTTCATTTTTTTTTATTTTTGGAAGATAGTTTTAGAAGTCACCCAAAATACAGGAGAATAATGTTTTCAGTGATAAGATTTTGAAATCATTAACAGTGGATAATGTTAACAGCAAATTTAAAAGACTGAAAAGAAAAAAAAAGGACTGAAAAGTTTGTTTCATTTTCTTATATCAAGTCTTTACAACCTATTTGAATAACATACTTTTTAAAAACCCTTTATTAGCCAAGCTTTGAATAACCTTAACATGTCACACCAGGGAGAGATCACATGGCCTAGATGTCCCCTACACTGCAAGCTAGGTGTGGAGAGGAGCACTGGTTGGTGCCTTTGGGAAAAGAAACAGACTGGGAATTTTCTGTCCTGTGTAAATTTGGGAAATATCCAACCTGAATGCCATGGATTTGGTTACCGCATGTTTTGGATTTTGACAGACATGAAGATTAGCTACCCAGAGCCAGGCCATGTCCTTTCTGAGTCGGGAAACAAGGAGACCATATCCATAGGAGGTATGGGACCAGGGGAAGAGAATATGCTGTGCTTTCGTGTTATTTCAACCATGCTCTCCGGCTCCCAGGTGCCCCCAGCTCTTGTTTTCAGCTGGCATCCTTTCTGGTAGAGACAGCTAACATTTGTGTGACCTCGTGTAGCTTCACAAGGAGGCATCCAAAATGAAAACACAGTCTCCATCATGGTAGCATTCATTTAAGGAGCAGAGCACATCTAATGGGTTACATTTCAGATCTTGGACACCATTCTCAAACATAGAGATGCCATCGGATTTAACAAGCTATCTAACTTGCCCTGCCCTGTTTCTTAAGAATCTAGGAAACATAAATGAAATCACTTTTACGGTATCACTGTCACTACTTTCTATCACTTGAGCCTTTTTTTTTTTTAATTAAAAGACTGGAATAATATTACATTATTTGGCATCCAGGAATGAAGTACTATATCCATAGTAATTATGATGGACTTTTTTGTGCCTCTCGGCTTCTGTACCACAAGTCCTGAATTAAAAAAGAATATTTTAGCTTTATTATAAAGGTACAACATAGTAAACTTCACAGGCTTGGGCAGAAAAAGAGGATACGCTAGAAATCACGATTCATTTATGAAATGGTTAAGTCCCTTCAGGCATCATTGAACTTCCCTCTGTGTCCATATATTATCTTTGTGCAGTTGTCAGTAGATAATTATAACAATTCTAATGAAAAACACAACACAAGGTCATGTCACTTAGTAGCCAAACATTTAAACAGAATTGTCTGATATATCATTCCAACCCAGAAGTAAACAAGTCCCTGCAGCAAGAAAAAATCTAGCCTCTGCACAAAAAAATGTAAGGATTTTCTCTGGAATCTGGGTCCTCCCTCTCCACTGCCATTAATTCAGGCTGTCATCATCTCTAGCCCACATTATTCTGGCAGTGTTCCAAGTGGTCCCCTTGCCACCAAGCTCTTCCCACTCCACCCTGTTCTTGCACAGCCCTAAAACTTCTTCCAAAAAAGCAAAGATTATGTCGTACTCTTCATGAAAAAGTTCTGTTGGCTCAGCTTCCTTCTAGAAAAAAATCTAACTCCTTAGTTCAGAATGGACTTAAGTTCAGCCTTTCTTAGTGGATCTGTTTGGGGTTTTTCCCCTTTCTTAACATCTGGAGATGTTTCTAATTTGGGGAACTCCCTACTTGACCCACCACCCTCTAAAGACACTAAGGGGGGGCCGGATTCTCCCTCTCGCCGATCTGAGAGCCAGGGTGTGTGGGCATATGACTTGGGCTGATTAGTGAGGTGCACCCACCGGGGGCCTTGGATCTCCAGGGAGTGATGCAGACATCAGTTGAGAAGTTAATTCTCTAAGCCTGGGCCAGCAGGCACCCACCGCAGCATCCTAACTGCACATTCCTGGGACCTGACCCTGGCCACCATTTCAGGCTGCCAGGCCTTCCTTGGTTCCCACCTGCTTTCCAAAAGCTGGTTCCCCAACTTTCCAGTCAATTGTGAGGTTACTAGTATCCTTTCAATGCATACCTTTTCTCAAGGTAATCAGGGTAGCATGGTATTGTTGGGACTGTAACTCTCATTTTTCCAGCCTCATTTCCTATTAATTCTGGCCTCCTTGATGTGTCCCCTGCCATTCCCTGAATACACGATGTACTTATAGGCTCTTGTCCTTTTGGAAATTAACTACTGTGAACATTACATTCCTCCGCATACCCTCAGAGTTTCTAATATTTTCCAACTGCATGGTTGATTCAACCAGACATTCACTGAGCTCGTACTACGTTTCAGATTGTGTTCAAGGCAGTAACAGTTAAATGAAGATAAAGGAAGCAAGGTCTTTGCCTTTTTACAGCTCAAATCCTAGCACTGGGGACGCCTGGGTGGCTCAGCAGTTGAAATTCTGCCTTGGGCCCGTGCTGTGATCCCAGAGTTCCGGGATCCCTGCAGGGAGCCTCCTACTCCCTCTGCCTGTGTCTCTGCCTCTCTGTCTCATGAATAAATAAAATCTTAAAAAAAAAAAAAAAATCCTAGCGCTGGGTCTTTCTGTGGGCACAGGCCACTATAAGCATGAAATGATTTGCAGCATGTGGTTCTTGTTGGCATAACAAAGTTTCTGAGCAAAATTACAAAGTACTTTCACCTCTATTGCCATTCCCCCCTGTTGTCTTGTCTCTCACTCTCCTGGACCTCCGGCTTCATGACTGTCCACTGGAAACCACCCCAGGGCCTTAGCTAGTCTGGTCCTGCTCTTGCCACCTAAGTGCCTGCTTTACAATGTCACCTTTCTTCTCAGTTCAACTTTCCACTCTCTTAGTGCAGCACCTCCCACTTAAGGCATTAGAAAGTACAAATTAAAATTTTTTCATACTAAGCGTGAATGGATAGTAGTCTCAACCTTCCCTGAAGCAGGAGGAGGCGTCTTTATGTCTTAAAATAATTAATGCATATCTCTAAGGGAAGTAGAAAGGTTTGAGCAGAGATGCTTTCCTCCTGTGTAGTGTGCCTGCTGTGAGGTATCCTTGCTTTACACACTGTTCAGCCAAAACCTGCAATATTATATGTAATCTTTAACTTAAAAACTAGTCTTCCGCTGTTTATATTCCTTTGTTAGGATATCAGTAATTAATGCTGAATCAATATAAATGAAAAAGATTCCACTATTGTCATTAACAGTTAGTGAAACTTGCCTTGGTATCTCTTAAGTATTTAGCAGAATAATCCACAGTGAGCGCCTCATAAAGTTCAGGGGGCTTAACGTCAACTATATCCCACATCTTGTGAGCCCATTTCTGAAGATCAGCTGCGTCACCCAGGAGCTGATCATTAACAAAACACATCACATAGGAAGAATATTCCCAAATTTCATTCTTGAGCTCCTATAGAGGAAAAGGATAAAAAAAAAAAAGCTGTATTGTTGGGAGGGGATAAAACCGACCTTGCCAAACCCACAAGCCACAGCTTGGGATAGACTCTAACCAAATCTTTAAAAAAAGGCAAAACAAAACAGACTTTTTGCCATCTTTTAGAAATTTGCTTTCAAACAGAATTCAAGAACATTTTAAAGAATCTGACATCACTGAAAGCAGAATGACCTAAAAGTAATATTAAAAATAGTACAGTCATTGAAAATAGTGATCTGGTAATAAAAATCTGTGTGCGTAGCATCTGTGTGAACCTGAAAACAAAATGCAGTCTCTGGCTTCATTTCTGAAGTACGTTTTACTGTGTGTATGCTTGGAAAGGCTAGGGGTTCTGAGTAATACACGGTTTTCAGTGCCAAGGATGGAAAGAATGCTTTTTTGAGGGGGTAGGGTCAGGGAAAGGAAATACCTCCTGGAGGCCGGCAGGCCTTCTGATGGACCCCAGGTGCAGGAAAGGCAAAAACTCACCTTTGTCCACATCTTTCGGTCCTAAGCCCCTGAAGATGAAGTGCATTGAGTGTGTTTCTCCAAATACTAACAGTCAACCTCCTAAATCCCAGTGTATGGCCATGAGTAATGCCCCTCGGAAGAGATCTGGTTTATTATGGTCTGGTGCCAGTTCTGGCAAAAGCATGAATAATCTGGGACAGCAGTTCTCAAATTTTAGGAGGCAAGCAGAATTATAGATTCCTGAGCCCCACCCGAGTTTCTGATTCCAGAATGGAGCTTGAGAATTTGCGTGTCTAACAACATCCGAGGGCATGCTGATGGGGAAATGCTGGTTTGGGGGGTGGCTTGCCTTATTTGCTGCACACCCAGCTCTTCTCCCAGATTTTATTTCCCATTTCGACGCCCATATCAAAACCTGGCTCGAGGAAAACAATAAACTTGTTCATGCTGAACTATATAAATCACTGATAGAGCCTGTAGGTCAAGAGTCCCTAAACTGTTTACATTTATCAGTGTTATCACATTTTATAGAATGGAAAACTTTAAAAAGGGATATTTATTTAGCCCAGGTATGGTTAATGTGGATAATTATGTCACCTCATGGGAAATCTATGTCACCTCGTGGGAGTACAGTAGAAGGTAGACTTTACTTGGAGGCTGACACTGTAGATCCCTCATCTGTGTGTGTCCTCTGGGTATGAGGGGGCCTGCTCACATACCTCAAGATAGTGGGCTGGACCCAGTGGTTTCTGGGGCTTTCTAGCACTGAGTCATAAGATGCTGCCTTTTTTGGAGAGAGAGAAAGGCTTTTCCAAAGGTCCAGAAGCCACCACTCAGGGGTGGCATTACATTCTGCTGAAGCATAAGGCCAGCCCGGACCTAACATTAGATGTGCTAAGAAGCAAGACATGTGACACAAAGCATAATGCTTTCATTAAGGACAAAAACTGGCCTGAAACAAGGATAAGGTGACAAGTGTCCAAGAAATGAAGGTGGGAAAAGGAAGAAAGGGAGGATAGGGAATAAAGAATGGGTGGAAAGAAACAGCTGTGGTTACCTAAGCCTCATTCAGGTCTTACGAGAAAAGTGAAAGGAAGAGAACACGAACCATCCCAAGGTCAGTAACCCAGGCTGAAATGGGGGGAAACTGCAGAATGGAATCCACACTAATCTTTAATACAGTGGGAATCTTTAGGAGGAATTGGGTACAGACCACAAAGCATGAGCTCATGGCTCTCCTGGTAGGCAGTGTAAGAAGTTTGGTGACCAAAAATTAAGAAAGATGTATTTTATGTTAAGGTATCCAAGTGTCCTGACCAGCTGCCCCAGTTTGTCTAGGACTGTCCCAGGTTTAGCACTGAAATTCCTGCTCACAGGAAACTCCTCAGAACCAGGCAAAGCAGGACCACTGGTCACCCTCGTTGTTGTAAGGACTGGAGTTAATATATGCATAATTACCATAATCTATACCTATATACACCATCTAGCATATGATGAACACGTATGTAGGTGTTTGCTACCATTCTGTCTGAATGCCAGTGAAAATGTATCATGGCCATGAGAATGGTATGAGACTTAACAAATGTATCCTGGACTCAGTCTTGCAGCATTCGTGTGACTACAGTGCAGTGGTGTCATCCAGCAACACTGTGTGATAACCACAGGATCACAGGATGTCCTCGTGCAGCCACTGCTCTGGTTAGGGGACATGGGATTTCATCAGTCACGGGGAACATGCGGTGCGGCAGGGAAACCAGGACGGGAACTTTACTGTTCTGGGCCAGGGATGGCAAGCAGGAAGTGTACCCATTCCAGCCTCACCCCAACATGAGGTATTGCTGGGCCAGGGTGCCACCTTAGAACTCTTAGTATCACAGCACCTGGGCAGCACCTAGAACCCTAGATCGGGGCTGGCACCCGAGAGGAAACCTATCTGTTGTCCCTAAGGCAAGCTCTGCTAGCCCTGGGGCCTGGGGTTTTCCAAGAGCGGTGTTAGTGGGGAGAAGGCAGAGAGGAAGCTTTAATTAGGACAAGGCTGCCCTGTGGGAACTTGGTGCCTGTCATCAGAGCTCCCTAGGCCACAGGTCCCTCCCACCCCCACAACCCCCCCACCACCACCCCACACACAAGCCCCCCACTGTGTCTGTGCTATACACCACCCAACCCTTCCAGGCTAAGGACCCTGAGTGTCAAGAGGTCACAGGAAGTATGAGTAAGCAGTGTGCGGGGAGAGCGGGCTAGCCATCAGCAAGGGAAATAGCAGCACTAAGAATTTAAAACTTACCTCTAATCAAGTCTTTCAAATGTAAATGTTTTTCTTAAAATCAGCCTGGTAAAGTGATTGAAATGATTTAGGACAAGTGGATAATTTAGAGAAACCAAATCTAGTTGCTCTAAAATCACTGCTCCAGTTTTTCCAAAACAATGCATAGATAAATAATTGAGACAAAACTTTACTCATTTCCCATACCCCGAATAGCCTTTACCCTTTTTTTCTCCTGTAGATATTGATTCCATGCAAATTCTTGAAGAGGAACTATTATAGGTTCTTCAAATTTGGATGGATAATTACTCTTCAGACTCTAGATTTCAAGACAGAATAATTATTTTAGAGTACATTCTCCTTTAAAGTAGAAATCATTTCCCCCAATTTTTATGGGGACTTCAGGAGGGTTTTATACAGTGCATACCCAGGCCACACAATTTGGCTTAATGCCCCCTGCTTGCTCCCAGAGACCCCGGTGTTTACCTCACACTGGGGACCAAGACTATATCCTAGTTTTCCCACACTCCCACTGGCTTCAACATCTGGCACACAATGGACCATCCAACATAGCACAGGAATGAGCAAATGAACAAATAAATGAGTTTATGCCAAAGTCTTGTGATTTGCCATGTTTTTTAAGGACCAGTTTTTCCCTAAATTAAACTTACTAAGTCTCAGTGGACCTACAGATACTTTTTTTTTTTTTAATGAAAAGATGTTACTTTATTTAACTGCAGTGTTTTATTAGTTTCAGGTGTACAATATAGTGATTCAACAATTCCATATATCACCTGGTACACATCAGGACAAATGCCCTCCTTAATCCCCATCCCGTTTAACCCATCCCCCCACCCACCTCCTTCTACAGATACTTTTAACTAAAATAAATGTTAATTTAATTCATTGATATGTGGAGAATGCCCAAAAGACACCCTTTGGGAAAAAGTGAAGTAAATGCTAAATATGTTTAGGTTTAGATATTGAGCGTGTTTTCGTTTAACATATATTATTTTGTCTATATGAATCAGAGAAAATTCTTACTGGTTAATAATCCCTGTCAAAAAAAGGGCGGGGGGCAGCCCCGGGTGGCGCAGCGGTTTAGCGCCGCCTGAAGCCCGGGGTGTGATCCTGGAGACAAGGGATAGAGTCCCACGTTGGGCTCCCTGCATGGAGCCTGCTTCTCCCTCTCCCTCTGCCTGTGTCTCTGTGTGTCTCTCACGAATAAATAAATAGAATTCTTTAAAAAAAAAAAAAAAAAGGCGGGACGCTGATCTCAGGTCTGGGTATCCAGTCCTGCATTAGGCTCCCTGCATGGAGCCTGCTTCTCCCTCTGCCCATGTTTTTCTCTCTCTCTATCTCTCTCATGAATAAATAAATAAAATCTTTAAAAAAAATTTGTTTCCTGATATGTTGCATTTTGTCTCCTGGTCAAGCAAGAGAAGGCAGATGAGGTACTAGCAGTGAGGCCTCACCTTTCTGAGTGGGGCTAAGAAGCACATCTGTCCAACAGGGAAGAATGACAGCTGGCTGCTGTGCCCCACACTTTCTCCACTAGCGACAGTGCCTGGAGGACCAGCTGTGGTCTAAGAGAGGACACTGGCCTGGCATGCTTCATCAGGGGTGGATATTCCAAGGGGGAGAAAGCCAAAGCCAGGGCCTGAGCGTATCCTGCTCTTGGGACCAGGGGGAGCCGAGGTGGGCAATGGCAGTTGGGTTACTTCCTTAGGCTCCTGCCCAACCAACAGATGATCATGTTCCTTTGTCCCAGTTCCAAGGTCTGTGCTCAGTTTGAGGCAATGGTGTTTCTAACTGGAGGGCCATCTGGAATAACTAATAAGCCCAACGATTTTCAAATTAAGCATACTTCATCACACTTTCTGCATAATTTAGTGTCTAGAGTGGACTACATCCAAATTAGAATCTGTGTAATATGTCTTACAAATCTAAATCTCTGACAGTAAATTAGGTGTTCAGGATTGCTCAAATGGTCATGTTGAGAAATGACTCAAAGATCCTTTATTCTGGTAGAACTCAGTTTATACTGATAGGGTTTCATATTCAAATAAGGTTACAGTAGGCAAAAGCTTAAGAAAGGGAAAATTAATATATATCAAAGACATAGTTTTCTTGACTTAGTATCCTCTACCACAGGGGCCGGCAAACTGACCCAGCTGACCAAATCTGCCTGTTTTTGTAAGACTTGAAAGCTAAGAAGAATTTTTAGATTTTAAGCAGTTGAAAAAAAATATTTTGTGTCATGTGCAATTACATGCAACTCAAATTTCAGTATCCGTAATTGGAAAACCACCATCATTTACATACGGTCTGTGGCTGCTTTTGTTCAAGGACACAGCCTAGTGGTCTAAGAGCCTAGGGCCCTGAAGGCCTAATAATTTAATATCGAGGCTTTCCAGAAAAAAAATTGCCAACACCTTCTCTACAGTGTAGAGCAGGCACAGAAAACATGCCCTCAGGAAAGGAGCAAAGAAAAACAAGGGGGGGGGGAATTCCTCAAATTCATGAACTACTTGGGATTCCTGGGGGCTCAGCAGTTTAGCACCTGCCTTCAGCCCAGAGCGTGGTTCTGGAGTCCCGGGATCGAGTCCCGCATCGGGCTTTCTGCGTCTCTACCTCTCCCTCTCTGGGTCTCTCAGGAATAAAATCTTAAAAAAAAAAAAATCATGAACTACAACTTGAGCCATAAACTATAGATCCCATCAGTCCAGCTAACAGCCCATGATGCCTACCTATTTTGATGATCCATGTATTGTTTTCACAGACATGTGTTGTGTTCTCTTCTTCCTGATGTAAACACCTATTTCACAAATCAGTTACATGAAACTAGATAAAGGGAACCTCGCTGACAATGGAGCGGGGAAGCCAGAAGGGGGAGCGCTCAGCCTTACCACCACCACTTGGCAACTGTAGTCCCAGTAGGTCAGGAGGAGACAAACGTTGCATTCCCAGAAGCAGTAAGTATTTTACTCCTCCAGCCCAAAGGAAGAGAGAATGTTGCCTTGCTCAGCAACAAGCGCAGTCAGTAAGATCATGACTCACTGAGAAACCATCACTACCCTGAACTCTCTCTCTATCCAGGGGCTTTCCTTCCAAGCAGCCCCCTCCCAGTTTCTTCCTTTTCTCTATAATGTTCCTGCCCTTTGATCTCCCAGATTGCCTTTGGTTTGCCATTGTTGCTACGTCCCAAATTGCAATTTGGGTGCTATTATCAAATAAACCCATTTTGCTGGTAAAATAATTGGCTGTTTTAAGGTCGACAGTTACTATTGCTTGATTTGATATAATTACAAACTTAATTGTATTGATATCATTGATTATATCAAACAATTTGATATAAACTTAAACTCTGTGGGCTTAGAGCAGGCAAGAAAGCAGGAATTGCTTAAGATTTCTTGTTTGAGAACATTTGGTGTCCGGTATCCAGCTGGATACTTTGGGAGATTCAAACACGGACAGGGCATGGTCCTGCAGACTGGTGGGGTTCGGCATCACCTTAACAGTAGCATTCCCGGAGCAAACCCCAAAGATGTGCCCAGTTCTGCATTTCTCCTGGATTTGGATAGGATGTGCAGTGCCCCATTGTTGATCTGGCCACATTCTTCCAGCTGCTTCAAGTGTTTTTTTTTTTTTTTATATCGTTCTGTGTGCTTACAAAGAAATACTTGGATTCTCCAAAGCACTTGAGGGTCATTTGTTGAGAAATTCCCTTAAGCACCTGAATCGACTGGAATGCAGTAAATGCTGCAGAGAAAATGTAAAGATGAGGGGGAAAAAAATCCCAAAAGAACTTCTCAAATGAAGTTCCCAAATGAAAAATCCCAAAAACCACTTGGGGAGGGAGTTCGTGGCAAAACAGAAAGCAAACAGAAACCCGTAGTCACGCGTTATCACTTCTTCCTAAACATTTTTCCACGAATTTTTAATAACCCATAACGCCAAGTAAAAATTACTGTGGAGATGAAGTATGTGGGTACCTAGAGGGGAGGGCTGCCCTCCGCCGCCCAGCAAGATTCCTGAACCTTCCGTCGCGCCGACCTCCCTTTAAAGATTTTATTTATTTATTCGTGAGAGACCCAGAGAGAGAGAGAGAGAAAGAGAGGCAGAGACCCAGGCACAGGGAGGAGCAGGCTCCAAGCAGGGAGCCCGACGCGGGACTCGATCCCGGGACCCCGGGGTCACGCCCTGGGCCGAAGGCGGCGCTCAACCGCGACGCCACCCGGGCTGCCCCGACCTCCCATTAAAGGTGGCCCCGCACGGAGCGGGGCACGGAGCGGGCACCGAGCGGCCGGGACGCTCCCCCCCGCCCCCCGGAACGTCGGCTCCCGTCGCCAGGGGGCGCGAGCCCGGGCCGCCCGCACGAGGGCAGCTCCCGCGGTTACCTCAGCGGCGCTCTTCGCCCTCTGGAAGCTGGAGCTCGTGAAGAGCCCCACCACCTTCACCCGCGGCGGCGGCTCGGGCGGCGGCGGCGAGCGGCACGGGGCCGACCTCGGCCCGCACGGCGGCGGGCTGGCCATGGCGGCGCGGGGCCCGCTCGGGGCACAAACGCTGCGCGTCGCCAGGGCAACCGCGCGGCCCCGCCCCCGCCGCCCGCGGGAGGAAGGACGCCGGGAGGGGGCGGGGCGTGCGGCCAGGCCCGGGCTTCGCTCCACTTCGCGCCTGTTGCCGGATCCCGGGAGCCGGGGGCACGAGGGGGCGCGCGGGCGCCGGTGGCCGGGGACAGCGCCTCCGCGGACGGGGACGGGGACCGCGCGCGGCCCTCGCCTCCCGGGAGCGCCCGCTGCCGCCGCCGCCGCCGCCACGCCGCCGCCGCCGCCGGCCTCTCCGCGCGGGCGGGCGGCTGCCGGGGGAGCGCGGGGCCCGGCCGCCGCCTTCCGGGGAGCGCGGGGCGGGCCCGACCACCTGTGCGCGCCGGCCGCCCCGCGGCCCCGGAGCCCGCCCGCCATGAAGCCCAACTTCTCCCTGCGCCTCAGGATCTTTAACCTCAACTGCTGGTGAGGGCGCCCGCGGGGTGGGCCCGGGGCCGCGGCTTCGGGGGCGCTCCCCGCCGCCCCGGAGCCGCTGCAGCCGCCGCCTCCCGCCCTCCTCGTCCGCAGGGGCATCCCCTACCTCAGCAAGCACCGCGGCGACCGCCTGAAGCGCCTGGGAGACCTTCTGAACACGGAGAGCTTCGACCTGGCCCTGCTGGAGGAGGTGGGCGGGGGCCCGGGGGCGCGGGGGGGGCCCGCGGGGGGGAGCCCGCCGGGACGGCCGCAGGCAGGCGTCCGCCACCTCCCCTCAGGTGTGGAGCGAGCAGGACTTCCAGCGCCTGAGGCAGAAGCTGCTGCCCGCCTACCCCGCCGCGCACTACTTCCGGAGGTGAGGAGCCCCCCGGCCCGGAGCGCGCTCCCGGCAGCCTGTGCGCCCCCGGCGGCCGGCTGAGGGGAGGCGGGGGCGGGGGCGGGGGGGGGGGCGGGTCGGGGGAGAGGCGGCCGTTCGCTTCCGGCCTCGCTGGCTATGCCCCGGGACTCGGTTCGCAGCGGCGTCATTGGCAGCGGTCTGTGCGTGTTCTCCAAGCATCCGATCCAGGAATTCACGCAGCACGTCTACACCCTCAATGGGTACCCCTACATGGTGAGCCTTAGCCCGGGTGCCCGCCGCGGGCTGCGGGGCCTGGGCGGGGGCGGGGGCGGGGGCGGGGCCGCAGTACCGGCGCGCGGCCTCTCCCGCCCCAGGTCCACCATGGAGACTGGTTCTGCGGGAAGGCCGTGGGGCTGCTGGTGCTCCACCTGAGCGGACTGGTGCTCAACGCCTACGTGACCCACGTGAGTGAGGCCGGCGCGCGTGGGCCCGGCGGCGGGTCCTGGGACGGGACGGGGCGGGGCGGGGACGGGGACGGGACTGGGACTCCTCCGGCCGGGTGTGGGGGCGGCCGACCTCGACCTCCCGTCGCGAGGCCAGATCCGCCCTGGTTATGACCGAGTATCTCGCCGAGCGACGGGCACAGCGCGGTGGAGAGCGTCAGGGAGCCTCGTCTCCCCTGCTGACCTCCCCTGTCTTGCTCAGCTCCATGCCGAGTACAATCGCCAGAAGGACGTCTACCTAACACACCGCGTGGCCCAAGCTTGGGAACTGGCCCAGTTCATCCAGTGTGTGAGCCTGGGCCTGACAGGGGAAGTGGGATGGGGCCCGGGCTTGAGGGGGCTTGAGGGGCAGCCCGGGCGCCACTTGCAGGGGGGCGGAGCCGTCCGGGAAGAAGCCCCGCCTCACCCACGCGGTTTCCCCAGCCACACATCCAAGAAGGCCGACGTGGTTCTGCTGTGTGGGGACCTCAACCTGCACCCGAAGGACCTGGGCTGCCGCCTGCTGAAGGAGTGGACGGGCCTGCATGACGCCTACCACGAGACCCGGGACTTCAAGGTGAGGAGGACCCGCCGCCTGGTTGTTCCCACGTCTGCATCCGCGGCTTCTCTCCCCGCCCGTCCTAGCATGAGGCACCTCTTCACCCAGGGCTCTGAAGAAGGCTGCACGATGGTACCTGAGAACTGCTACGTCAGCCAGCGGGAGCTGGAGCCATTTCCCTTTGGCATCCGCATTGACTATGTGCTGTATAAGGTCAGGCCTGTCCCCTCGGGGTGTCGTTACCCCCTGTGTGTCTTTTTTTTTTTTTTTTAAGATTTTATTTATTTATTCATGATCGAGGGAGCGGGAGGGGCAGGAGACACAGGCAGAGGGAGAAGCAGACTCCATCCTGGGACTCGAGGCTCACACCCTGGGCCAAAGGCAGGCACTGAACCGCCGAGCCACCCAGGGATCCCGTGTGTGTGTCTTTACCCAGCTTGTGCCGACCTTCTGTCCAGCAGGCCCTGTCTCAGGTCATCACCGACGGCTAGGCAACGGGGAGAGGCCCTCAAAGAGGTTTCTCTCTGGCCCTTACTTTTCCTAGGCGGTTTCTGGGTTCTACATCTCCTGTAAGACTCTTAGGACCACTACAGGCCACGATCCTCACAGTGGCACCCCCCTCTCTGATCACGAAGCCCTGATGGCTACCCTGTGTGTGAGACACAGCCCCCCGCAGCACACCCCCGACCCTACTCAGGGTAGGTCACCCCCACCCGTTCCCTGGGTCCCGCCCCACAAAGCAGCCCCTCCATCCTGACTCTCTGTCTCCTGCCCCACTGCCCTGCCTTTGTTCTAGGACCAGCAGAAAGGTCGAGGTTGATCAGCGTATTAAAGGAGGCCTGGACAGAGCTGGACCTGGGCGTGGCTCAAGCTCGGTGGTGGGCCACCTTCGCTGGCTACGTGATTGGCCTAGGGCTGCTTCTGCTGGCACTGCTGTGTGCCTTGGCAGCTGGAGGAGGCGTCAGGGAAGTTGCCATACTCCTCTGGACCCCCAGCGTGGGAGTGCTGCTGGGGGCGGGTGCAGTCTACCTCTTCCACATGCAGGAGGCCAAGGGCTTATCGAGGGCTCGCGCTGAGCTCCAGCACGTGCTGGGAAGGGCAAGGGAGGCTCAGGATCTGGGCCTGGAGTCTCAGCCAGCCCTGCTCCTGGGGCAGCAGGAGGGGGACAGAGCTGAGGAACAATAAAGCTTGACACTTCCGTGGCTCTGCCTTTTCCTTGTAGAGGCAGTGACTGGGGCCAGGGGTCGTCATGACTGTCATCAGACTGTCCTAATACATATCGTCGGGCTCCCACACATCTGCCCTCCCTGCCCATCCTACCACCCACATGCACAGGCAGCCCAAGCCCTGTCTGTGGCAGAAATACTTTTATTGTAAACAGTGAGGCTCCCTCCCAGGCAGCCCGGACGAGCAGGGTGGCACAGTCCTGGGGTGAGGTAGTCCTCCGGGAAGAGATGAGGCCAGCAGCCCCCTCCCCTTAGCCCTGGGGCCTTGGCTCAGGCCAGCTCACTGAGCCTGAGTTCCTCCTGGAAGCGGATAAGTATATCTCGTTGGTTCACCACATCCACCAGCTTCTTCAGGAGCTGCTCCTCAGCCTGCCGATCGGCAGGGGTCTTCAGGGCTCCTGAAGATGATGGATGACAAAGCTTAAAGGACGGGGAACCCGGCAGGGAGGCAGGAAGGGCGCAGCCCAGTCCCAGCCTACGTGACTCCCACAATTTGGGCTTTGTTTCCTCATACCCAAAATTGGGCCTGCCCATGCCAGTGGTTGATTAGCACTGTTGAGCAGCACCGTTTTCATTTTATTTTGGATGCATTGATCTATACATCATATATATAACACATACATATGATACAGAGGTAATCTCTACACCCAGTGTGGGGCTCGAACTCACAACCTCGAGATCGAGTCGCCTGCTCTTCCCCGGAGCAGCCAGGTGCCGCGCAGCAGCACTGTTCGTAAAGTAAGCAATCTTAACACAAGCACAGCTGTGAAGGCCTGACGGACGTCAGGGCAGAGCAGGGGCCTGGAGCCTCTTCTCTGGCTCCCTCCTAGAACGCCTCGTAGGGCTCACAGTAGAGGACCGTGTTGCTGGGTCAGTATCTTAAGTACTGAGGCTGTGTAGACACCAGCCCCAGATGCCCACGTCTCCCTACATCCCACCTACCTTCCTGGTTCAGGTAGCCTCGGAGCTCCTGGTCCAGATGCCACTGTTTCTCCTCCAGGTTCAGCTCTTGCACCCTGTGGGGGGCAGGGGTTGAAGAGGCACAGCTGCCCAGGGTGCCCAAGGTGCCGGCTGGGGTCTTGCTCATGTGTTGTCACCATGCCCTGCCCCTTACGTGATCATGAGCTCGGCCTCCTCCGCCAGCAGGCTGTTTTTCTTCTGAACAAGCTGTAGCAGCTGTTCCATCCACAGGGTGTTTTGCTGTTCTGGGGATCCTGGTGGGAAGAAAGAACGGGAGGGCGGTCAGAAGGCCTCCGACCAGTGTCACGGGTGTCGGGAGCGTGAGGGGTGGTGCCTGCTCGGAGCAGTCTGGTGGTTTGAGGGACTGCAGGGGCTGAACACAGCGCTCGGAGGCGGAGGGATGTCCTAGCTCGTCCCTGCTGTCTACTCACCGCCCTGGCTCCTCAAGGCCAGCTCCACTTTCATGCCCTCAGCCTCCAGGTCCCCTAGAGCCGTCTCAATCTCATGAAGTCGCCGCTGGACAGCCTGAGGGGCACGAGACAGGAGGCCTAGGAGTCTCTGGGTCGCTCAGGTACAGCTCTGGAGAAGCTGACACCTCCCCCCACCCCCGCCGAACCACGGACCTGTAGACCTCACCTGGGCCTTGCAGAACCGCTTCATCTCCTCCTCCCTAGCCCGGCGCAGCAGAGTCCGTTGCCATGTTGGGTACTTGCTCATGGTGCCTGAGTTCTTGGCCAAGGTCAGCAGAGCCTACAGCAGGGCCAGGCCAGTCAGGGGTAGGGCTTCCCTCCCTCCCCTGCCGTTGGATAGGGGCTGGAGAAGAGGATGGGTGCTGGAGAAGAGGATGGGTGCTGGCAGGAGGCCAGGTTCTTCCTCTCACCTGCTCCATGTCTGAGCCCAAAGCCGTGGTTTCCCCTGCCGCCGCCTCCTCCTCCTCCTCGCTGGAGGAGGCACTCTGTTCCTGCTCTTCC